AAACACTCCAGTACTACTTCCTTTAAAACAGCCGTTCAGACGCATGGATAAAAAAACAACGGAAGCCTTCGTTTCCTTATGCGTGCAGTGTATATTGGTGTAGTCTTGAAGACTGGTTTTGCACCAGTAACATACGTGTCAGAGTTTTACGAAAGCCTAGCCCCCTGATATAACGTCCTTGAGAACAGGCACTGTCAATGAGTCACCGGTAAAACACGTATAATACAAAAAGAGGTTACGCAGTACGAACATGTGTTCAGAACGGCGGTGCAACTTGCGCAACGGCAAGATTTTCTTTCATACTTTTTTCGCCACAACTAGACCTCACATCCAAAAAGCTATCCACGTGCACAAAACAGACGGTACATTAGACAATAATGCGCTCAAACACCACCGAACAACATCGATTCAATACCTGCCGGCTAAAGTCAGGCTAACCTAAGTACTAATAAGGGGATGGGGTAGAAAAATTCGAGGTGAAACAAATATTGAGTACGCTAACGCACTTTCTATTCGACGAACTCGGTTATGGATCTGTGGTTTCCAATGGTACAAAACGAAACCCAGATCTACAACAAAATGTTTAGACTCGACTGTCTTCAGAGATATTCGGTCATTGACACAGTCCACACATAGTTTTGCACGACATACTTAGCAAAAAGCAAAAAAGTTGTCCAGTTGGTTCCAAGCGTTTGTATCGCCACCTAACTGGGGAGCCCTGACTGGTGGGTCAAACGATTGTCACAACTGGGACAGCTACAGGGTCGTCGTTCGATGAGTTGGGCGAACCAAACACAGCTCAAGCGTGAACACGTTAGCCTATTCAGACGTGAATAATCAGATGCGTCCAGCGTGTGTTAGTGGAGTAGTGGTAACACGCTCGCCTCATATGTCAAGTGCATTCGAGTCGTCCAACTTCCTTAGTCTATGCCACCTGTATGTGTAAACCTGCCAGATCGGTAAAGGTCAAGCAGAAAACAGAAACACTCGAGACGAGAATAAGCAAAGATCTTATGTTCTCGAAAGTACTGTCTGGAATAAGGTGTTCAGTTGGTTCACAGACCACGGGATACTGACGCCAAAAAATAGGATGCCATCGGCCAAAGCTAGCTCGAATGATCCTATGAACACAAATCCAATAGTTGTAGTTCCTTAGTAGGGTAAGCACCCACGTGTGCACAAAATTCACACACATCTCGTCTTCCGTCATCGGAAATGCATCTTTCCGGCAAGCGATTAGTTACGAAAACTCAAAGCAAATCACCTGTCGGATAGACACTCAACCTGGTTTTCTAACAACTTATTGGGGGCGGGAATGGCTCGGTGGTTAGACCGCGAATTTACTGACCGGAAGTCCGTGGCTGATTGATTGCACGAAGGGTCACGCGAAATCGGAGTTAGGCAATCCGCTCGATTCTATTTTTCTGCAAACAAAAACCTTGGAAAGAAATGGGATGGGGCCTAGGACTCTAGTCGTACCAAATTCCAAATCTGTAGAAGAGGGCCATCGATTGAAAGCAGTCAACGAACATTTGATCAATCCGAGAAGTTTTATATCACTCTTCCAGGAATGCAAGAAGTCCAATTCACTCCGATGATATTTTTCAATCTTTCCACTGCAAAGTTGACGATGGTGGACGAGGATCAAAGGCAGTTAGAAAAATCTCACATGTTGCTAGACCAGATTATTCTATTTTTCTGGCCATTCAAATACATTGTTTTATGAGCATCTATTGCCAAATACAAGTATCAAAATTAGGAGTCACGAAACCACAGACGCACCAATAACTAAGGACGGGAACAAAATCGACAAATATTTGTCAGATTTTAGGACATCTGTACATGTGCAAATCTGAGTCGACCTGCATCGTATATTCGTGTGCTAGCTCAGGAAAGGAAAAACAATGGTGAATAATTTGACCAAACCACTAACGACAAAAGGCTGTACCACCCATGGAATGAGAGAGGCTTGACAACGCCCAATTTACGAGAAAGGGTGCATCAAAAACACTGGACCTCAAAAACTGAAAAGCTATCGATAGAATGTACTTTAATAACAGTCTGAAGGAGCTGAATAAGTTGGAGTAAATGTTTAACGAGTCGTCTTCACACAAACGGCCAGAGGCTGGGTTGTGTTGATGTGGTGCGAGAGGCGTGGATATTCGTACAGAAGAAGCCCAAATTAAAATTTCGAATGAGGGACAACATAACCATTGTATACAGTTGTATGCAGTTTCCTTCCGTAGTTGCAGTAATTAAGACGTACGGAAAATTCACTTGATCGATCGAAAAAGTTGGATGACTCAGGTCACCCGCATGATCATCAGTGGATCTCCAGCTGTTTTATTACTTCCAGAGTAGCCATTTAAAGAAGGTACTGCTGCAGACCGTATAACGCTTGGACGGCCTGTTTTTAGGAGTACTAGTATGGCTTCTGCAAAAGCCGAAAAAGATCCGTTAATTTTATAGACCACGGTAATGCCCAACGAGGGGCTACGACAATGTAAATATACTAACGCGAGCTGAATGGGAGCATGATGGACGTGGAGTGCTCGAGCTCCAGTATCTCCAGTCAACTCTTCGACAGGATTTCATTTCGTTCGTCGTCAGTAAATAACCTAAACGGTCGAGTTTATGGTTCACTGTTCACAGGCACACATAGGTATATCATTATTGTCGTCGACAAAATCAGCGACCACAAACAGCACCACTATTGAACACCAGTGCTTCAGCGTCAAGCAACCACAAAATATTGTTTGAAGATAACCCCGGCAATTAACGACAAAGTATAAAGGAAAAGGCCAAGTGATAGTCCATCACAAACAACACATCATTCAACCCTAGAGCAACGGAGGCGTTCGGTGAATGACGTGAATTAGGTGAACAAACAATTTTGCACACTTCGAAAGGGAATGCGACTAGGTATCCCCATAGAGGAGTTGAGAAGATTAGGTCTGCGGCTTTCACACTACATGAAAGTATTAATCGCCATATCGCAACTAGGCTTCCACCAAAGTTAACGGAAAAAATTGCACTTACCTGGCATTTTTGGATTTCATTGTAAAGGGTGAGGTAAATTTTAGCCGGTTTTCCTTGTCTTTCTGTAGTACATATGAGTTTTCCATAAAATAGAGACTGACATACCACAGCAATATCACCAATATAATACTGCTGCATCATTTCCCGGGCATCTTCTGAGTGACCAACATCCTCGAATGGTTCGGTAGCGTAACCTCCGCTTTGTTCCTCGAGAACCGTACTTCCGCCAGGATGCTGTATGTCAGAAACAACGAGAATTAAAGAAAATGGGTGATGAACGAGAGAGCGTCAACAAATTGGAGTGGCGCGTTTTTCTATGCTACTATGAAGGAACCTAAGCCGGAAATTTGCATTTTCTCAATAAAGACACAGTTGTTCAAAGCTAGGATATGATCCAAAAGTACCAAACATATTTGACAATAGCATTTCGATCGCGAAATATGGACTCCAGGCCACCAGTAACAAAAATAATCTCCAGAGACGCCTCATAATTCAGTGATTTAAAACAGGATTTGAAAAGATAGTTCAGTGGCCAAAAAATCGTTCCGCTGTAGCACCCTTTCTGTGCTTAGTTGCCATGCCACCCGAGGGAAGCACGAGAATTGGGACACTACCAGGTTACCCAAGCCTAGACAGGAGAAGTCGAGATGCAGGGTTCGGTAAATTGGCTCTAATCACTGAACGCTCTCGCCCCCTCCAGTGGCCAACTGAGCCACCTCTACCACACTCCATCAAAAGTCCCGTCGTGTGCAATCCCAGGACCCAGAAGTTTCATGAAACGTTAAAAAAAAGCAATTCTTCATTGTTGGAATTTCATTTTGAAGGATTATTCAAATGCCTTTTCGAACTGAGTCATGTTTACTTAATTTCATCATAAGGCCAGGTGTGCACCATATAACTGCGGTTGCATGACTTTTTGTCGCGTTGCGTCGATGGGAGACCTTGTCCTCGTGAAACATGACAGAAAACAAAAACACGACTGGCTAAACGGTAGACCTGAAGTATAATTTTGATACGGCGCGGGTTCCACCGTTATATTCAGAAGAGTCTGTCTACTGTCAACGAACTCCATTCATATAGCAGTATTTTTCGGTAGACGATTCCGAAATGGTAGGCTAATTATGTTTAAAAAAGGTACTCCAAACTACATTAAAAATACGAGAAAGCTACATGCTTTCCTGGTTGTGTAGTCGCCCATTACATTTTGAGCAACGTTAACCTCAAACCAACAAAGAATGTGGCAGTGTATGTCTCACGTAGCTGTACACTTTACTGGCATTAAATGAGATTGTTTACCACCAGCAGCGCACTACTTTGTAGCTCATTCGACAGCCAAAGACAAACTTGGGATAACCTTTTAATACCCTGCTTTAATGAAATCCTATCAAAATTATGGCAACTGAACCAAGATTTCTAAGGATTACTTTCGCTTGCGTTGCGTTGTAATGCAAGTGAATCATTGCAAACGTTGTCTCACGTTGACCGTTCAGCTGAATTGTGAATTTCAGCTGGTGGCGCCACCACCCTTTGAAGTATGCTGTTCCGTTCAAATCAAAATCTCTCTTCTAGAGCAAACGTTACTCGAACATAATCGCAAACATGTGCATTACTCCCAGTAATCCAGTGTGAGCTCGCTGAATAAGCCCATTCCCTTACCGTCTCAATGACTACAGACTTGGATAGCTGTATCACAGCAAGTGATTTTGTGTATATTCCAAGGTTCCACGTCTCGGAAGACCACAGCATCCTCGCCAAAAATATGGGTCCTCTCCATAGAACACTGCAATCCAGCTCCCCAGCCAAGGTGTAATAGAAAATGGACCATCAAACCAGAACGAGAACCACCTAACAGATGCTAAGGAGAAGGCCTTGATCACATGATATCAGAACACTACGAAAAATCGTTCCCTCCAGATTTTTTTACTCTTCCCACTATAATCCCTATCATGTGTGCATCTAAACAGCTAACTCAGTGGAGACTGCCCATCTAGAGTGACCTATTCCAAAGGTGCCACTTACTCCCCTGCTGTGACTGGCTTCGGATACAACCTGAGTATAATACGAAAGTGTGCTCATCACGAACACAGAAAAGATGTCATTATTTAATGCGAAGAAAACAACGTTCGCCAAAACAGACTGGTGACCACGGTCGCCGTACTAAAGCCCATTCAATAACCATAAGCAGGTCTGATGGCAAGTCAATGGATGGAATTCTGCAAGGCCCAAGGATGCCGTCAACAGTGCGGAATAACCGTTTTATGTCGAAGAGGATAGCTTCTGAGAGAGGAAAGGTTTGCAAACTTGGTTTACTACCGAGTATCCAGCAACTGACCTTCAAAAGCTAAACGATGCATCTCATCTTCATCGTTAATATATGGTCCACATTTTCCATGCCAACTCGGCCATACATTAGTATGGGAAGAATCGGTGATGAAATCGTTATCATCCCCCTTGGAAAGTATGTGAAGAAAACCACCAGGACCTAACACATTGTTGTTATTTGACGAGATCTCAAGCCTAAATTTCGTTTTCCACGGAAACCCGGTGCCCACGCCAATGCGCTTCGGTCACAGTCAATTTACTGGTGTAACAGCCACAACGGAAATTCGGTAAACCATGTATTTTAAGGATTGACAAAGCCATTTGCAATCTTAGAAGTGAAGAAATCATCGTCTCCTCACTACCAGCAATGAGGAAGCCCTGAGGAATGAACAACTGTTAATAACGTTGCTGGCTCACGTTGTATAGATGGTGGCTCCTATTTGGTTTGGTGGAAGACCTTGGTTGCAAACTCTCCATCGCCAATCGACAGAATAATTCTTGTTGTTCTCGAAATTTATTGATTACGATATTATTTTGGTCAATTCAGTCTACTCAGCTCAGCAGGTGGAAGCTGCACACCAAGGTATGCTGGTTAAAGTTGCTACATCATCATCGACAGCATGAAATCAGTTCAACTGCTTCGCTGTATTTTGGTCAATTCAGTCTACTCAGCTCAGCAGGTGGAAGCTGCACACCAAGGTATGCTGGTTAAAGTTGCTACATCATCATCGACAGCATGAAATCAGTTCAACATCGATGCTTCGCTGCCGTACAACAAAGTTGCTATAGCTGACTTACCCTACACATTACAAAATTGAACAGGAACGCCGACAAGTGATGACTTCAGCTGAACCACTTGGATACGGCGGACGAAAAAAACGTCCCATATTTTAATTCCAGCGGCGCGATATAACATCCTCAAGTTGTTCACTGAGTTAAGCAAGCGTATTACAATCTCCTCAATATTCTATTATTCATCAAATCTCTCCTGGAACAGACTTCCGCAAACGAGTGTGCGAGATGCTACCAGTATTGATAAGTGCCTTTTCAGTCACTTACAGGAAGCAAATGCAAGGACCATTGGAATTTTACCACAAACAAGGACTCGTAAACACTGTTATAGCAGTAAGTAGTCCGAGACAATCGTATGGTAGATCCTACTCAAGCCACCATTATTTATATGGCACGCTCATCTCTCGTTATACCTCCACCCCCTCGAAATCTGGCACTCCAATATTGTCAAATTAACACGGATAGTACTACCTAGTACACAGGGCTAGCTCTAACACAACAATGTTACGTGCTTAATTGATCGTGTTGTTGGATTGATAACGCAAAAGTCGTATTTTCCAACGAAATAGGAGAAAGCTGTTCACGTGGTTTCGCGCTGTCCCCACATTTGTAGTTTTGGTCTGTCAAAAGTCCAGATCATTCCAAGAATAGTAAAATAGCTATCTTAAGAACCTTATGTTTGGTCAACCGACCAAGCAGTGTTTGAATTTCTCACTCGAATGCGTGTGCACACCCGAGGGTATCCGAAAAAACCGTGTCGTATTCTCAACTTTCTCGCTTAATGGTAGAAAGTCAGCATACCCCGATCCTCTGGAACCTAAGGTGTATCCACACTTCCAGATAGTGGTTCCCGGTACCGGTTATCACACACTAAGCTATCCGCATACGAAAGTGCACTCAGATTACGTAAGCGCGTTCTTCGCATCTGACCCAACAGATCTATGTTGGATAGAACAGGAGAACGGACCAAAAGGGCAGGTAAGCAAAAAGCCGGAATGAACAATTGTTACGTTTTCCATTACAACTTTTCAGTAAGCGGGAACGGAAAACCATACAAGGGCTAACTCGCGGGGGGAAACGCTGCAAGCAAGCCTTTAGGGAACGAATCGCCCGAGACATATGGATTCTAAAAGCAGTTTACCATCAGATCTCATTCTTTTACCGTATCCACCGGCTTGGGGCAGGGCTTTACTGTGTAGGTACTCCTTCTCAATTATGATCGACGATATCGTCTACGTTTCTTCAGGTCAGGCTGACGAGGGTGTGGGATTACTTTGCATCTGGAACGCCACTAACTCGGATTTTACCGTTTTAACCGATAATACAATCCTAGAAATGCAAACTGTTCTGGATCGCTTAACAGCTGGAGCGGAACAACATACAGTGCACCTTATCCCTTTGAAATGCTGTGTTCTATTGCAGGATCCGCAGGTCGGACCCACTCCCACCTTAGGTGACAAATGAGTAGTTGCCAGAAGCCTCATCTACCTATAACGTGGCACGACCGCTGATGGATGTACTGGGAAAGCGATCCCGCTTGTATCGCCAAGCCCAGGGCAGCGTACTGTGATCTCAAACAGCTGCAGTGGTAACATGCTAGTTGCCTTTTGCAGAAAGGCCGAGTTTAGTGTGTTGTAGTGCAGATATGAAGCTTGGTTTTACTGTGTCAAACGTGTTCGCCAAAAAGGTGAGCTTGAAAATGGCTGTCTGGGTAACTGGTACGTACTCGGTGGCAACAGTGTGATAGAAGCGATGAAAGATAATCGAGGAAAAATAACCGTCCGGTTGTAACGCTCTTTAGGCGCCTAGCTGTGACACCATCCGAAGGAAGCACGATGTCCCGACCTAAAGCTGCCACCTTGACGTGGTGGTCGGGCTTGAGTGCTGCAGCGACCGCGCGGGCTACACTGGCTGGACCTTCAATCCACAAGGTGCAACCACGCCAGGAAGGCCAAAGGGGAGCAGCCAGACCAAGAGCAGCGAGACCCCGTACTACGAGTAGTCGTGCTACGAGGCGGTCCGGGGGTAAAGTCGTACTGTCCTCTGCGACAGGAGTGT